GGGATGGGGAGCCGTAGGAACGGGGTCCGCGCCCAGAGTCTCGCTTCCCCGCCGTCGGCGCCGGGAGGAGGGGCGCGCGGCCTGCTGGGGCGCCCTGGGCGCAGGGGGCAGTGGACGCCTGCGGGCCGGGAGGACGATTCGGATGGGAAAAGACGGGTGGCCAGGGCCGAACTGAAGGCGAACTGCCCGGCCCCAGGGCGGAGGGGAGGGGAGGCGAGGCATTCCGCCCTTGGGGTTCTGACCCGCCTGCGTTGGACGAATTTGCATCAAGATGTGGCCGCTTTAGGGGGGTGGGGGGGTGGACACGGCTTGGGGCCCAGCGGCCGCCTGGTGAATGTGATAAGTCAGCAGTTGTCTTCATTTGGACCCCATCGAGGGGCTGGCTGAGTTGTCCCCCGACTCGAGCTGATCTCTTCAGGAAAGGGGGGTCCTTTTGGGAAGGGTCGCTGCGAATCTCGGCGTCAGGGGGGGAAACCCCACAGTTAACCTAAATGACGAGCCCTGGACTCTTACCCAAGCAGGTTTTCAAGCGGGGGTGAGACAATAGGTACTCTCGTTTTCCCGGAAACTTTCCATTAGTGTGTTTTTGGCTGTGACCGAAAGGATAAAGGGCTGAGAGGTCCCCAGCCAGATCTGCAGGGAGGTGGGTGGGTAATACCTGCTCTCACCTTCTTAGGCTCCCCCTGCCTGACCTTTCTCAAAATCTGATGTTATCTGGTCACTTCTTTGCCCTTAAACCTTCAAGGGCTGGCTCTTCTATGCTAGTGACATGAATCCACTCGCCCGCCCACCTGAGCTGGCAGTCTGGACCCCTGGGTAGACCAACCTGGGTTGGCTTCTTGCCATTTAATGAGCTCCCCCCCCCCCCTACAGCAAAGACAGCAGACTCACTGCCATTGAATCGATGGTGACTCAGTGACCCCATAGGGCAGGGTAGAACTGCCCCTGGGCTTTGGAAGTCCTTTTCAGGTTCAGCTGCCTTTTTTTCATTTGGAATGGATGGCATTCAGATCTTGAGATGGAGAAACCGTGGCCAGACAGTGACCCCCTCCCTTCATTCTGTCTTATCAAGGGATTTAGCACAATCTTACCAGGTTTGTTTTGGGGGAAAAACCTGGAGACCGGTGATGGGGATTACCTACACTTTGAGTAGCCGTGGTCACATCTGTTAGAAAATGTATTTAGCCCTTAATCCCGTTTACCTGTGTTCTGATAAGCAAGGAACGCTGATGGTATCATGGGTTAAATTTCTGGCTGCTAACTACAAGATTAGTAGTAGGTCGAACACACCTCTCACTGTCAGGGAGAGCGAGCGAGCGCTAAGGCTGTCTGCTCCCGTAAAGAATGACTGCC